TGAGGTTTTTCGCTTTTTTTAGGTGGTAGACATATACAGTTTTGTAGCCGGTCTTCCCTATAAAAACGCAGATATGATGTCAATCGAATATATACACCGGGTACGAATAACAGCAGGAACAGTGTCAAACTAAGTTTTTTTTTGCTGCAAATGTGGCAGGGGCGGATTTAGGGGGGGGGGGGCGGGGGCGGACGCCCCCTCCCCTCAGGGATTCGAACCCCTGCCAACCCAAAGGGTCCCCCCTTTGGTACTTTTTAAGAAATCCAATTTTGGCCGACCGACCCTAAAATTTTTCTAAAGGCGCCTTTGGCGCCAATATATACTAGTTTTGAGGGGGAGCGCGCGCCAAAAAACGCGTTTTTTTTGTCAAAATTTTCCAAAAAGTGCCCAAAAACGGCTTTTTTGACCTGTTTTTTCAAAAAATTGCCTGCGGCGCATAGAGTTTGGCCAAAACAGGGTCTTTTTACTGCTTTGGGAGAGCTCGGAAAATCAATCTGATCGACCTAAAAAAAAAAAGGTCGTCAAAGTTTTCGAAAATTTTTTGAAAATCCGCCCCCCCCCCCTCGAGAAAATCCTAGATCCGCCCCTGAAATGTGGGATTGTTTTTCTTGTGATTTCAATTCGTTGTCTTCGAATCCTCTAGCTACAAGACAAGCTTTCTTAACAGTTTTTTTTGAGATAGAACCCATCTATACGACGCGTCATTCTCAACTTCCGCAAAAACATTGAATCTCCGCCAGGCTGATAGTTCAAGCTCTTAAGCGTCATCGTAGTCCGAGGTCGCAATGAACACATGCGTGTCAGCTTCAGCCTGCCCAATTGTGAGGCTTCGACTGACAAATCTATCACAACCGTGGAAGACTTTTCTCGTGCGGAACTGTCCAATATTTTGGTATTGTGCCAGTTTCGATGAACACCTCCACTTTTATCAGCTCTTCCAACAATACGTCCCTGCACGTATTTTCCATTGTTACACGAAGGAAACGAATTTTCCGCTTGTGGCACGATCAATATTCGGGGATTTCCTGGGTCGACTCATCTTAATTCAAGCTGCGTACAATCTGAGCTGGGGGGGGGGGGGGATTGGGTTGTGTTGTTTCGCACTTGACTCTGGCGATCTGTTGGCCGTTTCAGAAAACGCTGTGCCGTCGAGCGATTCTCCATAATCCGATTTTTTGCCTCCTCTGACAAATTCTGCTGTTGAGACAAACTCTTCTGTTGCAAGGTCACTCTTGCAAGTTCTTGAATCTGTTCAGACTGATCGGTATCTCTGGAGCTAGTGTCTGGGAAAACTAATGTTCATCTTTCAACTGCACACGCGTCGAGTGTGCTCTGACTAAACTTCCATGTTTTAACAGAATAATTACACCGTCGTGACCAATGACAATTCCTAGCCTTTTCCGTTCGTTTCTAGGAAGTAATAGAACACGGAGTCTCCTTTTGAAAATGTGTTACCTGCCAATGTTCTGGTTTGCGTCTGAAGTGCTCGGGCAATTTTCTCACTTGATTCAGAGGCAATAAAACTCTGTCTGGCAATGAAGCGATTTGAGATGCTTCATCAGATAATCCGATTGTCTTGGGGCAAAAGCGGGCTTCGCATTAACAAGGACGGACGGTAATTTGGGGTTGAAGCCCATAGCTAGTTGCTAAGAATTAAAACCATTGAGATTGATCAGCGCATTTTTTGCCATCACAGTCCACGAAAGCCTTGTTTTATATGGTATACTTTCTGACGTGATTTTCAGCAACATGTCTATCAAAACCGCGTTTGCGCATTCTTACACACCCTCCTTAGACCCTGGAGAGTAGCCAGCAGTGGTCTTAAGTGTAAATGTAACTATCTGCCATTTGTCTGCATTTGTTCGTATTAAACTCTCCTCCGTTGTCTGTTAAAACTCCACCCGTTGGCGTGCCATAAACTGCAACCCGCTTCCGCTTCTCCTGAAATTTGTCAGTTATCACATCAGCTTTCTTGGATTTAATGATAGCAGCCGCACTCTGTCGACTGTACAAATCAATGATATGGAGACACCATAGGCTTTAATCAAGTTAGTGCAAATCAAGTGCAACAACCTCATTAAAATTATCGCTTGCGCAAAATCAACAACTGGCTTTCTGGGGGTATTCTTATGATTCTTATGTATACGGCATGGGTCATACATGGTGGTGATGTCCTACAAAATTGGTTTGATCCAGAAATCAAGAGTGTCCTTCTGAGAGCTACTCTTTAGCTAGGAAAGGAGCCGCTCAAGCGTAGTTTAACCAAACTGTATGTGAAGCCAAATGCAGCTCTCAGATTTTTGTCTGAATTCTTTGAAAAACGGTCAGCTGTTGAAAACAATACATTTTCTATGGCAATTTCGTTCTGATTAATCACGATAGGAATTGCATAGTGGCCACCAGATGTCTGGAACACGTCCATCTTGGATCCAAGCATTGTACCAATGTTAATTGGTCTCTAAAAAACTATTTTAGAAAGCAGATTACAGTTGACCCACCGGTATCTGAAGTACCAATACAAATTTACATGGTTTTTGAAAATCTGAAGTTTTTCAGAAAACTAGTCTGTATTTCTTTCTGTTTCCTTGCATTCATTGAATGTTTTCTGCATTCAAGGTTTCATTTTTGTATCTACTTTCGCATAATATTGTTAAGAAAAATACAAATGGAGCTAAGCTGTGCTTAGCCTTATACTGGAATTTATTGCACAGGCAAAGGCTTGTGTTATCGTACGAGTTCGATTTTTCCAACATTGCTCGTCCAAATATGTGCTCAACATATTCAAAGGTTATCAATGAGGAGGGCGAAAACCTTTAAATTTGACGGCACTTATTTTTTTCCCAACTCACGAATCTTTTTATGTGTCAATTGAACGTATTTATTTCCAGTAAAATGTCTTTTATTGACTGCGCTAAGATTTGAGGTTGGGCTGTTTGACGTTTCAGTTTCAATTCAAATTCATTTCCTAAAAGTTATTTGCAATACAAGTATTTTATAAAATGGCATACAACATAAAGTTTCACAAATGAATTGTTAGTCATTTGGCAAAGTGTAAGCTTACACTAAATCTGACTTTGTGTTAGCTTACATCAAATCTGATCAAATCTGCGGCCGCCATGTGCTATATCGAGTTTTTTTAAACTCTTTTAAGTCGTTTGAAGGGAAAACAAGACTACTCGTATATCAGGGCAAAGCCTTGAATGTTCCAACTGTCCCTTAATTCATATCGAATACTTTTTGGGAAAAGAAATTATTGAAAACCTATAAATTTTGAGCAATTTCAAAGTGTAAAATTTTGAGTCGTACGAAATTGATACGACCACCAATTAGCTAGCTTCAATTCAATTTGGAACGATTTTGTTGAGCGGGATAATTCGCCACGCTCAAATAATTCGCGTTACGCTCTCAGCATTAAGAGTAAACTCTTCGAAGCGCGCATAATTTAGTCCAGAAGATTTTGTCGATTTAGTTGCGGCTGAGGTAAATGATTTTGAATGCTTATGTAGGGGCGTCGGTTGTGTTTCTTAACATGTTTTTCTCCAATTGAACATCATTTGAGAAAAAGGTTGAAATTTTGTAAATGTTTTTTTTTTGATGTTTTAAAATTTAGTTACTTCGACTTAGTATTGCGAAGTTTCGCTTCGTCTCGTTGTGAAAATTGTGGTTGTCTTGTAATCCAAAAATTTAAATCTTGTTAATTTCAAAACTTGACTATTTTGTTATCTGCGAATTAAATGCCATTTGTTAGCTGATTTTGCGTGGAAAACAAAAAAGGAAAAACTTCAAAAAAATTAAACCGGAATACAAAGTCTGAATACAAAGTTCCTCTCCCATGTTGAATGGTCGGAGCGAAAGCTTAACAAGACTGCTCGTATCAGGGCGAAGCCCTGAATGTTCCGACTGCCTTTTAAGGTTTATGGAGCAGTTTTAACATAAAAAAAATTAAATTAAATTTTTTTTTAAATTGGATTTTTTTTTGAAAATCATCCCCCCACACGCCATATGAAATACAAAAAGATAAATTTCGCTCTTTGTATCAAATCAATTATGGCAAATGAGCTTCGTTCAACCAATTTGGAACGATTTCTAAGACGGATTAAATCTCCGCTTACGCGTTAATAGCGCGAATTATATCGCGCGTTAATTGTCCCAAAATGGCAATCTTTAAACCTTCATAATTTTACGAAAAATTATCACAGGTGAAATATCTTTTCAAATTTAAGCTCATGACAACAATATCTTTCGAATGATATTAAAAAAATTCCGACAAAATTGGCTAGTTAAAAAGTCGAAATTTGTCTGAAGAAAAAAAAAACCCACCGAGCACAAATATTCCGTTACTTTCGTATCAAAAGTCGGAACAAAAAGGCGTTTAAAGCTCTTTAATTACGAAAGCGAAATTGCGCAAATAAAAGCATGAAAGCTTTTTCGTTTTTCGAAATGGGTGTTATTTTCGTTAAGATTTCCCAGCGGAATAAGAAGATAACCTATTGATCGAGTTTTTTATTAATATGGCTAGTTTTTTGATCAGATTCTTGAAATTCAAAGAAATTCAGCGTGATAAGTTTTAGATTCGAAAGTTAAGTAAAATTATTCGTTTTTTGTTATTATTGAGGCTTTGCTAACTTACTGTTGGCTATGCTTCATTTATTAAGTTATCTCAAATTATGCATTGAGGAGTAAATGTTGAAAATGGATCCGGATTTTTACATTTGGTCGATTTGAAATGGGAAACTGTTAAATAAAGTTTCAAATTCTTGGTTGCCGGTTCCTTGATTTGTTTTATTCGCTCGTGTATTTGAAATAATTTTGTTTGCTTATGAAGTGTCAATGAGCGAAAACTTTTAATTAGCCGTATTGTTTTTTTTTCTTCAAAAAACTGCTCAAGCTCAATTCTGCTTTCCTCGCCGTTTGATTTTCGGTTTCCTTGAATGCACTGACCTTTTTCCAACTGTCTGTTGGCTCTGTTTTAATATATTTAAGAAGCCAGTTGTTGACAGGTGCCCTGATGACGGACTTTTTGAATGGACTGGCCGTTGACATGCAATCCTACTCGCAGGGTGGCAAGTGTGTGACCACTGAGCACACATTCCTCTTCCACAGAGCGCACTCAAACCTTTTTGTGGAGAAGTTCTTCGTCCGAAACGAAATGGTGAGTCATTAAACACACAAGGGCGTGAAAAAAGTTGGGTTTATAGACCAGCTACAGTCTTGGTAAAATCTACGGGCAAAAGTACTCAAATTCTGCCAAGCTGACTGCGGCCTTGTAAAAATCTTTTGTGCGGCATTTCTTCAGCAAGCAAATTAATAATTCATTCAAGCAACATTGTTTTTCTTGTTTTGTTTTTGAACAATTACTTTATTCTCGTTGGCTCTACACAGTATGTAAGATTAACCGTTTGTTTTTGTTCTGACCATTGAAGCTGGGGAGGAACTTTGTATTCGGGTGCTTTAGGTTTTTCTTTTTTTTTGTTTTCCACGCAAAATCAGCTGCCACAAATAATCATCGGAGTGAGTTGAGTGGTGTATCATATTAAGCCTTTTCAGTCGTGATTCGAACATCAACAAATTTCCAAAAATTGTTTCCAAGTTTCGAGAAAAACCGGTTTGAAAATTCACGATTTGTTTCTAATTTCGAGCGAGTAAAGCGAGTGAGCAGGCTTACTATAGATTATTACCCTTGCGAAACGCAAGGATTTTGCAATCAGGAACTAGACTTTTTTTCCCGTAAATAACTTGGTCACAGGAGTCATCTGGACTCCTGTTGGTACCTTGGTTCATAATGAATTCAAGTTTCTTTGTGTCTCCTGCAAACTTAGCCTGGAGGTGATACGCAAAGGTTCTAGGCTCGAATCTGGCCAGGACCTGTTTTTTTTCAAACGGAAATATTCTGTTTCAAATAAAATTGTCGGCATAATATTTGTCTGCCTATGTTGTGTCAGCTTTTGCCACATCTATAACTAGTTCTTTTTTGCTGTAATCTTTTTCCATTGTAGTTGCTCTTAGTACTTAAGCGTTTAAAAATCCGGTCGAATCGAAATTTGATTTTGACATTGGTTGTAATTTTACAAACTCGATTTGTTAAATTTTAGTTTTTTTTTAAACATTTTTTTCGGCTTTATTGACATCTTTTTTTATATCGACTTAGTGGCCTCCTTTTGCGTCTTTTGAGGACAGAGTTTTGTGTGTGCGTGTGTGTGTGTGTGTGTTCTGAGGGGAAAGGGGATTTAAAGTTTTTGAAATTAGTTTGATTTTTTTTTCGTCTTGAAGTTTCTGCCCAGGTATTTTCGGCTTTTTTACCGCTTGGTAATTATACATTCAAATTCAATCAACCATCCAGCGCATCTGCAGTAGGCGTAACGGCAAAAGCTTTTTGTTCGAATCCGGCCGAGATCTGTTTTTTTGTTGCTAACTAGAGAGAGTCTTTGTGCTTTTTTTGTACAATCGTCCGTTTGTTTGTTTGTCGGCTTTAGTTCCCGTAGCCCGACTTTTTTTTGAAGTTTCAGCTTTCTTCCAAGTTGCTGTAAAACCCATGATTGGTGCCCCAAAGCCCGGGAGTTAGATTCCAGTCCAGACCTGTTTTTTTTGCAAACTGAAAGTTTTCTGCTAAGCTAGATTATTGTCTGTCCGCTTATTTTTGTCAGCTTAATTCCGCTGAAAGGACTTTTTAAATATTCGGTTTCTTTCGATCATTCCGAAAGCTCTTTGTATAGATTTTAATTATACCTTTTTTAAGTATTTTGGGCTTCTTTTGCAGTTTTAAATTACAAAAACGAAGTTTTGTTTTCAGTTTCTTTTTTTTTGTTTTAAATCATAATCAGTCATGGTTGTATCGCAATTGGTGCAAAGCTCAGCTTCGCTTTTGTGTTTATGTTTATTTTTAGCCATAAAAATTTAGTTTTACGCGAGTAATAAAATATTTGGAGTGTTTTAGGCTCGATTTTTGGAATCAAGAATTTCAAAATATTTTTTTTTTGATTTTTTAATGATGATGTTTTTTCTTTTTCTAGTCACTTTTTTCAAAAACGGTTGTCCAATTTGCTAGTTTTACGCGAGTAATAAAATGTTTGGAGTGTTTTAGGCTCGATTTTTGGAATCAAGAATTTCAAAATAATTTTTTTTGATTTTTTAATGATGATGTTTTTTCTTTTTCTAGTCACTTTTTTCAAAAACGGTTGTCCAATTTGCTAGTTTTACTATGACTTTCGGTTTGCCTAAATTCTAATTTTTTGATCAAATCTTGTTTTTTCAACCAGGCAGAAAAAACCTTACTAATTTGGAAAAAAAAACTTTTTTTTTTTTGTTTTTTGTAAGACTGGTCGGAACATTCCGTGCTATTTGCACAGTTATTAGCTATCCTTGTTAGAACTTGAGTTTGTTTGATGTAATTTGGCTTAGCTTTTATTTGCAGTCTCACTCGATAGAAGTGAATGTGGAGAGTGTTATGAAGTCCTGCATGGACAGTTCTTCGAGGGTGCAGCTCAGTGGTAAAGTGTTCTGTAAGAGAACAGAACAACTCAAGGAGTCAGGACTGAATGTGGTCATTCTTCAGGAGCAGATAGAGTCTGCATTTCGTGTTCAGGCCATGTCGTAAGTGAATTTTATCCTTAATATTAGATCAAAATGTATTCTGACTAAAACTAGTCATCCTATTGTTTGAAAAATTCATGAAGTATTCTTGAAAAGGAAGTATATTCAATAACTCTATAATGATCTGTAGCATTGGTAATTTCATAGCATCTGTTCTCTGCTTCGTTTTTGGCTAGTGTTTTAGGTTTATTAAGCGTTCGTGGCTGAGCGATAAATGCGTGTGGCTTAGAATCTCTAGCTTTGCCTCTGTTTAAACTATACCTGCATGTCCTGAAGAACTAGTATCTCTTCTAATCTTCTAAAAGGAGGGTCTAAAAGTAAAGTTGATTAAGCATTATGATCAATGAATGACCGAGGTGATAGATAAGTTATTATATGTTGCAGCACGACAGCTGTCTATGTGATGACGATCATTGAGCACTCTAATAAATTATCAACGGAAGACTTGATTCTTAGAGCAGAACAGGTTGGTTGAAATGTATGAAATTTTTTGAAATTTCTTTTTTTTCTGGGAAGTCATGTTTCAATCAGTTATCTGATTCTTTCAGAGCTTGGAAACAGCCCTCGTAAAGAGAATGGAGGTTATTGTTGACGCACACAAAGTCCATTGGAATAAGGTAAGGCTGAGGGCCTCATGATTTCACTACTTTTTTTCTGGAAAAAGCAATAAATTGGAAGATGCCAATCGATAAAAGGTCCAAAATAAAAATTAACATGGCCCGAACTTAATCGCCAGTCACCTTAAGTCTAAAAATAAATCTTCAAATTGTTTTTCGTGCTTAGATTTGGAGCACTGGAATCAGCGTGGGCCTTTCGCACGAATCGCATGCGCCTTCCGCCTTAGCCGTGAATGAAACTCTGTACCACCTTCTCTCCTCAGTGGAGGAACCCCTCCTACAATCCTCTGATTTCCTTACAGTCGACCAGAAGTCCAGCTTGCAGCAGCTGATCAACAACCCTGAGCACACGTGTTTCAATGGTATACCTAATATTGACGCGTCACAGTTGTGGGTAGTGCCCAAACACTCATATGACGAGCTGGAAGAGATCATTGATTTATGGAAGCTGACCTTGAAGAAAAGTGGATGTTCGCGGCTCCTTGGAGCAGGGTTGAATGGGTTCTATGAGGCAGTTGTTCTTTCGGTGTTTGCGCTTCAATTCAGTGACGAGCACTTGGCTTTGAAATCTCAGCCGGCATATTTCCACAGAAACATGTCTGTGAGGCAAGTGACTTACAAGGACTGTAGTCTGAATCTGGGTATTTCGCTGTTGCCAGATGGACATGCGGAGTTGACACTGGCAAGTGAGAGCTGCAACCCTGGATTTCACTTGTACGCTTGTGACGCAGGGTGCACTTCGCCGCAACTGCTAGGGTTAGTTATCCTCGATAGTTGATCAATGCGACAAAGGATACCCTAGGAGCGTGCTCTGTTTTACTTGATTTCACGTGAAATAAAAACACCGCTATGCTTAAGTTTCTTCTCGCCACCCTAGGGAGGTGGTTGGTCAGAGCAATTGCGCATAAGTAAAGTGCGTTAAACGGCAATTTTCCTGGTGAAGAAGAATATCTTCGATTCATGTCGAATAGAAGTGTGGTCTGATTTCTAGGAAAGGAATGCACAGGTGAAGTTGCAGTTAATGTCATGTCATTCAACCAAGTTGTATCTATCTACACAACTATCAATTTTCTTTGAAAGTGAATCATCTTAAAATGATTGGATATCTAACTTATCTAACGAATGATTATCTTTTTTAAGAGTCGATGAACATAGTTCACTCTTATATAGGTCGCGATGATTTTGTTATTCGTTTTTTTTTCAGGAAAAGTCTTAAAATTTGTTTGGGATTAAATTCATTTTTTGCGGTTTGATTCATTATTTCTTTTTAAGTTCAGTTCATTTCCTATGTTAAAAGGAAGGCAAACTCCCTTATCGAACAGCGAAATTGTAAAGTTCACAAAAAACTTGATCGACTTTTAGTTGCGAAAGTGGAATTTCATCTTCAAGATTTCCCAGCGAAACAATTTCTCAAATTGGGTTGATTTTTAAAAAAAAGTGTCAATCAGAAATTGTTCTACAATTTAAACGAGCTTTAAGGCCAATTTTTTTTGTTTACTTACGTTCAATGACTCTTATCCAACTGTCTGTTGGCTATGTTTGTTTTATTGAACTTAGTGAGTACTCTTTTGTAGGTCTTGATTGTTTTTTAAAGGCCATCTATTTTTTTTCTTCGAAATTCAAAAGTTGAAGCTTTTTAAAAAAGAATTCAGTGTGTTTTTTCAGTTTCCTTGCGTGCATTACTCTTTTCCAACTGTCAGTTGGCTATGTTCTTGAGGAAAAGGTGATTTTAATTGTTTGATGTTTTAGGAAATGGTATGTAAATTACAGTACTCTTATCACTGTACAATTACAGATAGATCAGTCAGTGTGCGCTATCATCTTTTTCATTCTCAATACAGTTCATTATTTTTTTTTCATTCAAACTTAGATATCAGATTAAAAACGTTTTGTGATTAGCGTCTGAAAATTATTCTGCCATGACTAGTCGCAATCAATGTACATTATTTTGTGATCCTGGATTAAAGTCTTCTGTATCATGATTAGGGTTATTGAGTTAGGACCGAGTTGGTTAACTCATAGAGTAATTTCGGATAGGGTACACCGTCTGCTCGTCACGCTATCTTATTTTCGGCCGGATAGATTCGTGCAACTTCTTAGTCTAATACCGATCCTAATCTTACTCTTATACTATCTAGTCTCAGGTTGTTTAACTAGTCTCTGCTAGGCTCAATAGATCTAGGGTATACTGGTTTATTGCGGTTGCTGAAGTGCTCGGGAGAGTCCAACTAATTTCTAAGTTAAATTCAAATCTCTCTGGTGCTGAAATTACAAGTAACTTCAGCACTTACAAATAAGTGGGTTGTTAGTTAGATGGATCATGATTGGTTAATATTAAATACTTTACATTGGTAAAATATCTAAATTATCCAATCATAAAATGTAGTTTAGATCAGGTTCCATTATTTCAGGTCAGGAGTTCTGAAGTTTCCCGTGTACGAGACAGTTCCCCATACTCCGATTCTCTACATATCGGAGTCGGAAAAACACCTTATAGATCTGAAGCGCACAATACATTTCAGATCAATACACAAATTTGTCTCAAAAGACATAGGCGAAGACAAGAATAAAAATGGATCCAATGCTCTTCCGACTACATTTTGGATTGTTGTTGCGTTCGTCATCGTCGCCTTTCACCTGTTCCTGGTGATTCTACTCTATAGAGAGTACTGGGTTGGGGGAGATTCGGGTGGGGGTTATAAGGTGGACCCGTTTTACGACTACCCATCCGAAGTTCGATCCTCGTCCGGGTCCAAATTAGGAAGTGCAAGCTCGTTCATATCAAATTACTCGGTCCCGAAGTTTTCAACGCATTCGTTGTACTCGAAGTCTAGCTCTTTTACGAAGTGAAGAAAGAGTCTGAACATATTGGATGAAACTTTAAAATTAAATTAAAAAAATTGTTTATTATGCTGAATTTATTACGTATTTCACTTGTATAGTAACAGTTAAATTCTCTGTAGAAATCATTTTTGGTCCATTTTATCACTTCTTTGTAAGAAAAGACATGAATGAATTAGGAAATCGACTTGAAAGTGGTTTCATTTGAGTATTACCGTAGCATATGGTATCTTGCTTTTGAGCATTCAATAAACAAAGTTGAGGCTAAAGTATTGCGTGTTATGATTCAAGTTAGATTTTGCGACCTCATTTCAGTTACCAATGCTTTCCTGTCGCCAGCTAAAAACCTCATAGTAAATTATCTATACAGGTCAAAGTAATATGACATCCATATCCGAGTTAAAAGCACAACTTAACGCCACATAAATTCAACCAAGCTCCTCGGTGCAAAACTTCAGTGCTAAGCAAATAACGGTGCAAGAATAACAGTTGCCAGCAAAAAAAAATGTCGAACTTAGACTCAATCAACGAAGCCGTGGCTTCAAAAGCCTCAAACACGAACGACTTAATTCTCTCCTCACTTTCATCGACTTCAGTAGCTCCGCCTCCTCCGACTAGCCAAGAAGAGGAACACATAAACTCAATGGTGATTTTCTTCGTCCTCACAATACTGCTGATGTGTATTCTCTTGGTGCACTTTCTGATTCGGTTCAAAATGAATGTACTGCCAGAGTCTATTGCTGTAATATTTCTGGGAGCGGTAGTCGGACTGCTGCTGAAGATACTGAGCAACAATAATGTGCTAGATATGCAAGTTAGTTCGCAATTCATTTCACGTTTTTATGCACCGCATTTTTCGATAATAACTCGAATAGCAGCCTGAAAACAAATATTGACATTTAAAGTCATATGAGAACACCGTTTGTATCCAGCCGAAAGCACAATTTAAAAATACGTAAATCTGGTTTTTCTATGATTCTGTGTACAGTTTCGTTTGAATTCCTTATTATCACCTCTTTCCCTGTTTAGGAGGCGGAGACATTCAACCCGACTGTCTTTTTCCTTCTTTTCTTACCTCCGATCATTTTCGAGGCTGGCTACTCGCTACACAAAGGAAACTTCTTCCAAAACATAGGGTCCATACTCACACTGGCTATCTTTGGCACTGCAATATCCGCTCTGGTCATAGGAGCCGGAGTGTACATTTTAGGTGTGGCTGGACTTGTATACGAATTGTCCATAGTCGAGAGCTTCGCTTTTGGCAGTCTTATCTCAGCTGTGGACCCTGTTGCTACCCTGGCTATTTTTCAGGCTCTCGACGTTGACCCAGTGCTCTACATGTTGGTGTTTGGAGAAAGTGTTCTAAATGACGCGGTGGCAATCGTGATGACGACCACTATTTTGCTTATGAATCACGCACCCTATTCAGCTATGTCAGGAGGATCTTTATTGCTTTTTGGAATGAATCATTTCCTAGTCATGTTTTTTGCATCAGCGATGCTTGGCGGGGCTTTTGGATTACTTTCCGCGCTGCTTTTGAAACACTTTGATTTGAGTGATACGCCCTCTTTAGAGTTCGGCTTTATTCTAATCTTCGCGTATCTCCCTTATGGTTTGGCTGAAGGAATTCATCTTTCGGGTATCATGGCAGCCCTTTTCTGTGGAATAACGATGTCTCATTACACCCATTTTAACCTGTCTCCCGTAACTCAGATCACAGTTCAACAGGCATTTAGGACGATGTCGTTCATGGCCGAAAACTGCGTGTTCGCTTATCTAGGTCTTGGTAAGTCAAATTAGTTTCTCATAATCCACCCTTTACGGAGCTTGGCAAAATAAGTCCTTATTTTGTTCGCAATTCTATAGATTGTTTTTTGGTTGATTTTGTTGGCTTACATGTAAACATAAGAGATGTGTATTTAACTTAATTCCTGACATCTTGATTGGTATAAATTCGGTTTACGCATGCGATTAGGGAGTTCTAATTTTCTAATCATTGAATCGTAGGCGGCTCAAAGCTCCGCTTCGCCTCGATGTTATTTTTTTCTCGTCTACTGGCAATCATTTTGCATAACGTAACGTTGTAATTTAGGTCTGGGAAGTGTTCAAAATCTAATAATCTAATCATTTTAGAAGCCAATAAATTTTTAATAGTTTTTTAATTTTATATTGTTGTTTTGAACAGATCGGATTTATGTTTGCTTTTTTTCTTTGAAATTTTACTTATGAAGAAATCAAATTTTTTTGGTGATCAATAGTTTTCGAGACAATGTTTATATTTTTCTTCAATGTTTTGTTTAAATTGATGCGTACATATTTTGCAGTAACAACACCAATATGCCATCTTGTGGATTTTGCAACTTATCAACTATCATTACTTCATTACTCCTGAAGTCTAAATTGTGGGTATGAAGATGTGAACAGTTGTCCAAAAATAAATATATTTTGTTCGGCTTCCTTGTTGAAACCGAACAGATGGAGTTGGAAGTCGCGTAATGGATAACAAAATTTTTCTAAGTTTAGGTGTTTCAAATTTTAACTAAATGGCGTAAATCATCCAGTGTCAAAATAAAAAGTTTACAGTTTTTAACTTTAAGTTCAATAGCAATTAAAGCCATCGAGCAACGTTAGGTATATGAAAAATTAACTATTATTTAAGACTTTAGGCTAAGAAAACCTGATTTTTTTTAAAATAAAACTGGTTTTGGAAATTTTGTTTAGCGCTGCTTTGGCAATAAAGGTTTTCTTTAAAAAATTAAAAATCTTTTTGCATTTTTTTCATTTTCTTGTTTGTCATTCATTTTTTTGACGTGAAGTGGTGTCGATTATGCATATTTCACTAAATTTATACGACTTTGTATTGTTCTTCTATTAAGAGTCGATAAACGTTGTTCAGACTCTTATATAGGTCGTGATGATTTGTTTTCAGGAACAGTCTTAAAGTTTGTTCAGGCGCGTTTTGATTTTTAGTTAAATTTCAAGCTCAACTCATTTCTTTTATTAAAAGGAAGGCAAACTCTATTATGTTTTTTGGTATGTGTAAGAGTGACGAAAACCGTGATTGACTTCTAGTTTCGAACGTGAGAATCAAACTTTCAGATTTCCCAGAGAAATAAAAAAATTACCTATTGATCCTATTTTCTCAAATTGTGTCTATTTTATCAAAAAAAAGTGCCAATTATAAATTGTTTTAAAAATTAAGAGAACTTTAACGATCTGTTTTTTCTGTTCAATTCGGAAGTTGAAATTTTTCCAAAAAACAAGGCGGTGTTTTTTCTTAAATTGCGTTCATTTACTCTTTTCCAACTGTCTGTTTGCTATGTTTTTTTTGTTATGTTTTGACTGGCAGTTTCGATAAGAGTTAACTGTCCTATATGCATGTTTTGATATGATAGTTTCTTCTGTGATTGAACTAACGAAAGAACTCCCTCGGCTCTTATTTGCAATATTGGTCGATCTTTCGCTATGTCGCAGCTAGTGGTGCGAAACTCCGTTTCGCTTTTGTTTTTCTGGTGTTAAAAAGTTTTAGATCCTTCAAGCTAAGCCATTCAAATAATCATTTGATCTCAAATGGTCGTGGAGTAATTTTGTTGTGTAGAACTGAAGCCAGTTTATTTTAAATCAAGTGGTGTTGCTTAAGCGATTTTCTCGTTCCACCATCGCGTGGAGGTGGCACTCATAGTGTGGAGTCTGCTGTTGATCCTGCTGAGCAGGGCAGTCAACGTGTTCCCCATCTCTTTCCTTCTCAACTTCTTCCGGGACCACAAGATCACTCGCAAGATGCAGACCATCATGTGGTTCTCAGGACTCAGGTTAGCTATCACCCAATTAGCATCGACTAAAATCTAAGTGATGTTATTGAAAAATTACGTGTCTCTATAGTGCCATTTGGGAGAATTTTACCCCCCTCTCCCCAATTCGCAATTCATGACCAGTTCGCATGCATAATTTAAAAAGTATAGAACCCCGTGGCATGATAAAAAGTATACATTGTGTAATAGTTAAATTAATAGAGCATTGGTTTTTGTAGCTACTTCAAGAGATCGGTAAGGATCGATGTTCTTGGTGAATTTTTGTCGCCGTGTTGAGAAATATGCAGTTTTAGGTTCGCAGTTTTATGTTAATATTATTTTAGGGGTGCAATCGCATTCGCACTTTCTCTCTATCTGGACTTAGATGAGGACAAACACGAGGTCATCAAGACCACAACACTCATCATTGTCCTGTTTTCAACCCTCATCTTAGGCGGATGTACCATGCCTCTGATGAAACTAGTCGGCGACGTCAACGAGGAATCCCCGGCACCCAGTCGCAGAAAGGGCAAGAGCAGAGGATCGGCCAGTCGCCGTGCAGACAGAGCAAAGAGAAAAGATCTGAATTTAGTGAAGACCCACGACTGGAAAGCGATCGACTCCGAGGCGTTCTCGGAACTGACAGAGTCGGAAGATACTGTGAACCCGGGTGAAGTGGGCTTCATATACATGAATCGCAAAACAGGTTTGATCAAACTAGACGAGGTATATCTCAAACCATTCTTCACGAAGCGGTTTACAAGCGAAGAAATCCGAACTGGGCGAATTAAAATGAAGCAACTGACGAACCAATGGTACAGCAATATCAGGCGACCGAACGACGACGATTCGTCGGCCGAAGATGACATCACACTATTGGCCAACGACAACTCAATAAAGGTGGGTCAATCTCAAGGGGTCGGTTCGAGCTCATCAAGGTCTATGCGAAACGATGGCATTGTTCCGAATGGAATGAATGAATCGATGCTTGATGAAATATCAACTGAGCGCATGTGAAATTGCATATGAAATCTGCAGTTTGATAATATCACATGAACTCGTGTTCTTCGGGGCTTCTAAAAAGAGTCTGCGTACAGGTTATGAATTTCATAAATTACTTATAGACTAAGATATATAAATATTTCACTTTACCAAGATTATTAGGTGTCAAATGTTGCAGTATTTTGATTTTTAGTAGTGTTTTGTGTTCCTTTTGTTTTCTATTTGAAGCTATTCCCTAAAATAATTTAACTAATTTTGAGGTGCTACTTAATAATTTAATTTTGTCAATCAATTGCGCAAAGTTTGAAGTCAATGAAATTATGAAATGTTGATGTCTTCTTGTATATCATGAATTTGATGTATAAATGTTGGTATGTTTTAAATGTATCATAGAATTTCTTTTATCACTTATCCCTAGTCACAAATATACTACTCTATTTGCCTTGTTTTTTTCTGCTCGGTGTCAAGTTTTTGAAAAAAGGGAGCGAGAATTTAAGGTGGAATAAATTTATAAGAAGCAAGGATAGACGATTGCTGTTCAAGTAGGACAGAATGTTCCGACCACGTCTCAGAGTTTTTTTCTTCAAGTTAGTGTTTTCTCTTGTACGTCGTGTGATGATAAAACTCAACCGAGCACGATGGTTATTTGTGGTATCTGATTTTGCGTGGAAAACAAAAAACTAAAACACACCCGAATACAAAGTTCTTCCCATTTTTTTTCCAGAGAGGTTAGTCAAAATCGCGCGGAAAACAAAAGCTACGTCATAGTTCCTTTCCTTCCCACTTCGTGAAGTGGTTGGAGCAATAAAGAGAATTCGAAAGAATAGAAATTTGGATATTTTCAGATATGACTCTTTTCTCTTTCGCAAAATCTGGACACCTTATTGGCAGGAACTTTGCCTCGCGTGGGCTCGCAACAACTGCTCCTGCTGTCAAACTACTGATAAATGGTAAATTTATCGAATCTGAAACAGACAAGTTTTTCGACGTTCACAACCCAGCTACACAAGAAGTCATTGCAAGGACACCGATTTGCACAGACAAAGAAATGCGGCAGGCTGCGGAATCAGCGCAGACTGCATTTCACTCTTGGAAAGACCAAACTATTTTGACCAGACAACAAATCATGTTCAAATATCAGGCACTAATCAAGTCGAATATGAAGGAAATCGCGAAGATTTTGACTCGAGAGCAGGGGAAAACCCTGGCGGACGCGGAGGGCGATATCATAAGAGGTCTACAGGTTGTTGAACATGTGTGTGGAATCACTAATTTGCAACTTGGCGAGTCTTTGAGCTCAATTTCAAAAGACATGGACATCAACAGTTACAGGGTACCACTAGGAGTATGCGCTGGAATTGCTCCTTTTAACTTCCCGGCTATGATCCCCTTGTGGATGTACCCGGTGGCTCTGGTTTGTGGCAACACCTTTATTTTGAAGCCCTCTGAGCGAGTTCCAAACACTGCGATGTTTCTGTCTCAACTGGCAATGGATGCCGGTGTTCCGCCTGGATGTTTGAACGTTATCCACGGAACCAGGGATGCTGTGAAATTTATTTGCACTCATCCATATATCAAAGCGATATCATTTGTTGGTTCAGATCAAGCAGGCGAGTATGTTTATGAAGAGGGTTCGAAGCACGGAAAGCGAGTTCAGAGTAACATGGGTGCTAAGAATCACGGAATCGTCCTACCAGACGCGACCAAGGAAACTACGTTGAATCAGTTGATAGGGGCTGCTTTTGGCGCCGCCGGTCAGCGTTGCATGGCGCTTTCAACTGCTGTGATGGTCGGAGAGGCAAAAGAATGGATCCCTGAACTAGTCGAGAAAGCGAAAAAACTGAAAGTCAACGCCGGTGCTGAATCGAACGCGGACGTTGGACCTGTGATTTCTCCTGAGGCCAAAGAGAAAATCAAAAATTTGATCACAAGCGGTGAAAAGGAAGGCGCCCAAATTTTGTTGGATGGTCGTGAGATCAAGGTCGATGGTTATGAGGATGGAAATTTTGTGGCACCTACTATAATTACTGGCGTGAAACCTAATATGACTTGCTACAAAGAGGAAATATTCGGACCTGTTCTTGTAGTGTTGGAAGTGGATACACTTGACGAGGCAATAAAATTGGTAAACAGCAATAAATACGGTAACGGTACTGCAGTTTTTACCAATAGTGGGGCGGCTGCGAGAAAGTTCTGCATGGATACCGACGTCGGTCAAATCGGAGTGAATGTTCCAATTCCAGTACCCCTGCCTATGTTTTCATTCACAGGATCGAGAGGTTCATTTAGAGGTGACATGAATTTTTACGGAAAGAATGGAGTGAATTTTTACACGCAGTTGAAGACTGTCGTTTCTCAGTGGACGTTCAATGACTCGGTGTCATCTCCAACTGTGGCTATGCCGGTGAACAGATAAATGAAGACTTGAAATAAATGCGAACTAAACTGAACTAAACTCGTTATTTATTCATGATAGTTGGATGCTTTTGTAGTAAAACATGAACAAATGTTGAATCAACGGGTAGCTTCTCATTTTAATTTGTATTATTTATCGTAGGAACATTATTTTCTGTAGCCAAATGAGAATATATTTATCATGAAAATCTTGTTTTCCTTGACCTTACGGTTGCGCCGACAAGGCTGTAGGGCAAATTTGCACGGCTGAAAAGTGCGTGTCTTAGTTTGAAAAAAAACGCACACGCACTGACAGCCTGTTTTACCGATATAATTATGCAAGTTCTTAACCAATTTAATTTTATGAGACAATAACCTAAGTTCTCTGGACGATACAAGATCGCCGATTGAGAAATCAGTATACAGATTTCGTTCAAAATTTTGATACATCAGTTCAAAATTTCAATAAGCGTCTACATTTAGCTATAAGTGACCTGCATCTGAAAATCAAAATTATAGTTTGCTGCTTCCGATTGGGTCAGCAGATTGTAATCTATCTATCTATCTATATCTATACTATATTAAAATGCGTGTGACAGCTATGTCCCATGTTTAAGCATAATAATTTTGCATGATTAATGGAAGAATTTTTTCACGCTTAAGCTATATCATATATTGCAATGCTTAAGAAGGTTTTTTTCGATGAACTTTCCGCAAGGTGATTAATTTTTCAGCAATTTTTTTTCGAGGTCATATTAAGTCTGTCTGTCTGTATACCTGCTTTTTCATCTATCTATTTCTAGTTCATAATAAATTTAAACGCGGGCTTCACTATCTCGCCATGTTTAAGGTTTTTTCCACGTATTAATTTTGCATGCTTAACAAAAGAATTTAATCACGTTTAAGTTATTTCGTATATTGTAATGGTTGAGAGTTTTTTTTTCGATTTTGCAGTTTCAATGCTGTGTTTTTTTACCAAGTTTGAAATTAGCAACCCTATATTGGGATGCTGTCAAGAATTCACCAGGTGTTGCGATTCTGGCCTCCATAAATGAATAACCAAATCCTTTTAGCTTACCAGATACGGCAATATTCGAGCTATTACAAAATTTTCAAGAAAATTAATTTAAAAAAAATTTGTCAACTCTGTAGTTGGGTGCTGTCAGGGAACTCTCAGGGGTTGCGAATCTTGACTCCAATTCTCACTTGTCAAATCCTTGTAGTTTTCGAGATGACATTTTTTATGATTTTTCAAAACTTTTCAGAGAAACTGGATATAAGAAACTGAGGCTCTGTCAGGTTAATCTCAAGAGTTGCAATTTTTGGCTCCAAATATGGCAGTTTAAAAACTTGTATTTTCCAGATATGACGTTTTTTTGTGGTTTTTTTCAAAAATTTTTCATGAAATTTAAATTATTATTTTTTTTTCAAAATTTGAAATTTCTAACCTTTAGTTGGGGGCTGCCAGAGTAATTTCATGGGTTACGATTTCGACCTCCAATTTAAAATGTCGAAGTCTCTTTAGCTTAAGAGATAAGACGATGTTTATGATTTTTTCAGAAATTTTCAGAAAACTCAATTACAAAATAATTCAAAAAAGTGAAATACACAACTCTGTAGTTGTGTGCTGTCAAAGATTGCGAATATTGTCTTCAAATAAGATTGCTAAAACTTTGGTAGTTTTCGAGATGTAACCTTTTTTTGATTACAAAAATTTTTTTTAGAAAATTTATGGTTGAATTTTCTCAAAATTTGACTTTCTCAACGTTGTAGTTCGACACTGTATGGATTTTTTCGAGGGGAGGTAGATTTCAAAAAGTTTTTGAAAGCTCTGCCAAAGCATTAAAAAGACCCTGTTTTGGTCAAAATTTCTGTGCCGCTCGCAAAATTAAAAAAAAACAGCCCAAAAGTAGCTTTTTTAGGCATTTTTTGGAAAATTTTTACCAAAAATTTCAGCACGCCCCCTAAATCCGCCCCTGTATAACGCTATCTTGCTCTAAGATTAGGCTCAAGACGTAAATGATATCCGCGAACTTTCAAATGAGCTATCACACTTCTATACTATATTAAAATGCGTGTGACAGCTATGTCCCATGTTTAAGCATAATAATTTTGCATGTTTAATGGAAAAATTTTTTCACGTTTAAGCTATATCATATAATCATATATTGCAATGCTTAAGAAGTTTTTTTCGACGAACTTTCCGCAAGGTCATTAATTTTTCAGCATTTTTTTTTCGAGGTCATATTGAATCTGTCTGTCTGTATAACTGCTTTTTCATATATCTATTATCTATCTATTTCTAGTCTATAATATATTTAAACGCGGGCGTGACTATCTCGCCATGCTTAAGGTTTTTTCCACGTATTAATTTTGCATGCTTAAGAAAAGAATTTAATCACGTTTAAGTTATTTCGTATATTGTAATGGTTGAGAGTTTTTTTTCGATTTTCCAGTTTCAATGCTGTGTTTTTTACCAAGTTTGAAGTCAGCAACCCTATATTGGGATGCTGTCAAGAATTCACGAGGTGTTGCGATTCTGGCCTCCATAAATAAATAACCAAATCCTTTTAGCTTACGAGATACGGCAATTTTCGAGATATTACAAAATTTTCTAGAAAATTAATTTAAAAATAATTTGTCAATTTTTGAAATTCTCACCCTGTAGTTGGGTGCTGTCAGGGTACTCTCAGGGGTTGCGAATCTTGACTCCAAATCTCACTTGTCAAATCCTTTTAGTTTTCGAGATATGACATTTTTTATGATTTTTCAAAACTTTTCAGAGAAATTGGATATAAAAAACTGAGGCGCTCTCAGGTTAACCTCAAGAGTTGCGAACTTTGGCTCCAAGTATGGCAGTTTAAAAACTTGTATTTTCCAGATATGACGTTTTTTTGTGGTTTTTTCAAAAATTTTCCAGGAAATTTTAATTATTGTTTTGTTCAAAATTTGAAATTCCTAACTTTTAGTTGGGGGCTGCCAGAGTACTCTCATGGGTTACGATTTCGACCTCCAATTTAAAATGTCCAAGTCTCTTTAGTTTAAGAGATAAGCCGACTTTTGTGATTTTTTCAGAAATTTTCAGAAAACTCAATTACAAAATAATTCAAAAAAGTGAAATACACAACCCTGTAGTTGTGTGCTGTCAAAGATTGCGAATATTGTCTTCAAACAAGATTTCTAAAACTTTAGTAGTTTTCGAGATGTGACATTTTTTTTATTACAAAAATTTTTTTTAGAAAATTTTTGGTTGAATTTTCTCAAAATTTGACTTTCTCAACGTTGTAGTTGGACACTAAGGATTTTCTCGAGGGGAGGTAGATTTCAAAAAGTTTTCGAAAGCTCTACCAAAGCACTTAAAAGACACTGTTTTGGCCAAAATTTCTGTGCCCTATGCAAAATTAAAAAAAAACAGCCCAAAAATAGCGTTTTTAGTCCTTTGGTGGAAAAGTTTTACCAAAAGAATCCGCCGCAAATGCCCCCCTCCCGCCCCTAAATCCGCCCCTGTAACACGCTTATCTTGCTCAGAGAGTAAAGGCAAAAGGCGTAAATGTTATCTGCGAACTTTCGAATGAGCTATCACACTTCTATACTATATTTAAATGCGTGTGACAGCAATTTTCGAATGCTTAAAAAATTTCGATGTACTTTCCGCAAGGTCATTAATTTTTCTGCTATATTTTTCGAGGTCAAATTAGGTCGGTCTGACTATCTGTGTACCTGTTTTTTCATCTATCTATTATCTATTGTAAATTTGAATGCGGGCTTCAATATCTCGCCATGTTTAAGATTCTTCCACCTATTAATTTTGCATGCTTAACAAAAGGATTTAATCACCTTTAAATTATTTCGTATATTGTAATGGTTGAGAGTTTTTTTTCGATTTTCCAGTTTCAATGCAGTGTTTTTTTACCGAAGTTTGAAATTAGCAACCCTATATTAGGATGCTGTCAGGGATTCCCAGGTGTTGCAATTCTGGCCTCCATATATGATTTACTAAAATTTTTAGCTGACGAGATTTGGCAATTTTCAAGATCTTTCAAAATGTTATAGAAATTTTAATTTGAACAAATTTCTCAATTTTGGAAATTCCCACCCTGTATTTGGGTGCTGTCAGAGCCATGTCATTGGGAAACTAAATTAGAAAAAACTTTCAACCTTTTTTCGCTGGTGAAGTGATCAGCGTCCCAACCTTCTTTCTTCCAGACTATTTACACATTCGCGCTAGCAAGCGTAGTGTTATATAACGAGTCAAGTTTGTTCCAACCCAAGTTAATGAAAACGTTCATTCAGTTGATGACATTTTGCAGCCAACGTTTTATATCTGGTATATTTTCACTGGATAGCACTGTTTTTCTATCTAGAGTATTGGTGGCTAGTTTTGACGATTTTCAAAAGAACACACCATGGGGTGGATCTAGGATTTTCTCGAGGGGAGACAGATTTTCCAAAAGGTTTTTGAAAGCTCTACCAAAGCATTAAAAAGACCCTGTTTTGGTCTAAATTTCTGTGCCGCTCGCAACATAAAAAAAAACAGCCCAAAAGTAGCGTTTTTAGGCATTTTTTGGAAAATTTTTACCAAAAATTTCAGCCCGCCCCCTAAATCCGCCCCTGTATAACGAAATCTTGCTCTAAGATTAGGCTCAAGGCGTAAATGTTATCCGCGAACTTTCAAATGAGCTATCACACTTCTATACTATAAATAAATGCGTGTGACAGCTATCTCCCATGTTAAAGCATAATAATTTTGCATGTTTAACGAAAGAATTTTTCACGTTTAAGCTATATCATATATTACAATGCTTAAGAAAATATCTGAATTATCTTTCCGCAAGGTCATTATTTTTTCAGCATTTTTTTCGAGGGCAAATTAAGTTATCACTACTGAACTTGAATAATTTTAGCTGTAATCAAAATTCTTGTTCATCTCAATCAGATACCGTGCATCGATGGAGCTGTGTTGAAATCCTTAGTTTGTTTGTAATTAGCGTGCTGATATTACTTGCGAGAGCGAGTGACTTGTTTTCGGGAACTTGTTTTTTTTCCTGTAAATAACTGCTGTACAATAACTGCCGATATGCTCAATTCTGACATACTCAAAGGTTGACAGGCTCATTTTTTCAAAAAAAAATCAAGCTAAACTACTTCTCAAAACGCTTGAGGTAGTGATTAGTTTTTTTAAACGTTTCGATTGGAATAAATGTTGATT